ATTCAGCAAAGGCTAGTTGAGGTCTTGATGCTAAATTTATTTTAGTAAGGATTTGGTGGAACTTATAGATGATGTCTCAAGACAGTGGAATAGGCAAAGTGAGCCAAACCATTATAGGCTTGCTATGACGAGATCATTGTGATAACTAGTGAACAATAAAAAAATCAAAAAGGAATAATTCATCTCCCAACTAATTTGTACAACTATTTCATTAAAACTAACGGTGGTATCAAAGATAACCTCATTTCATAAATAAAAAAATTTATTGAGTAGATCCTCCAACTAAAACTTTAGAAACTAGGTTTTGAAGAAACTTTGTAGAGGTACATTTGACACATAGAACTTTATTTAATTAGACTAATTTTACCAATTGAAAAACATAGAAGAGATTTTATACTAAAGGGACTGATTTTAGTGCAAGTTTGTTTATAACTGATGGGCCTTATGATCTAGGGAAAATACAAATAATTTAAGATGATAAAGTTGAAATATATTTTTCTCAAAAGGTCATCGTCGGTATCTTATTTTTTTCTCAATGTGAATAAATGTAATCATCATTTGTGTTTTGATACAGAAATTGATGTAGATTAATTAGTTTTTAAGTAACAGTTGTTTTCAATGTTGGCTACTGAATCCATCACAATATTAAGATTTTTTCATCTCTCACTCTTTGTTGGAAACCCAAGGTCACTATGATTGAGAAAGCAAAAGATGACCAAGCTATCATTATATGAACTCAGATCGAGCAAGAGTTTTTAGCATTTAGAAAAACAATCTAAGTAATCTCTTGCTTTTCTAGTTAAGACGCATAGTTCTTTTAGTGAAAGTGAAAAGGATGAGATTACACTACTATATAGAAATTTGAGGCATTATATTATGAAAAATAGATCACAATGGCCTAACAAGAAGTTTTATAAATGTTCACCTTAGAAAACTTGAACTAACAAAAGATGAGGTCATTTGTTATGAGTGAAAGAAAATAGGACATGGTAGGATAGCATGTCTGATGATGAATAAGAGGGAATAGAAGACAGAATAAAAGATCCAAAGTCACTTCATGAAGAGATGAAGATATCACCATCTTGGCTTTAGGCAATAAAGGCAAGGAAAATTATGCCTAATTGCTTAAAAGTCTGAAGAAACTTTCTCTGATTTTTCTATAGAGAAAATATATCAAATAATTGACAAAGAACTTGCTGTATATAAGAATACTAAGAACTATTTAAAAGTTTTTGTTAGAAACAATAAATGTTTGAAGCAGGACATTGAAATTGAAAAATGAAAATGATCGATCTCTCGAAGTTGAGTTTTCTGTTAGGAAGTCAACAGAAAGTCAGAAAACAAAGACTAGGATATCGACATACAAACAGAATCGGGAAGAACACTTTTGTTAAAGCATGTAAGTTTCTATATTTTTAAAAAACTACAACGTGGAACCAAGTTGGGCATACATAAGACATAAAAACAAAAATAGAACTCATTACGTTAAAGAATTTTGCCAAAACTCTACCTAGAATGATTTGGGGCCCAAACCTAAATGATTCATTTATTATTTTAGGGGTATCTCAAGTATTGACAATCACTGTGGTAGCTCGACAACAGGTTTTCAAGACAACCAGGAAAAGAGATAGCTCACTTCACTCTTCCCAAAAGAAAGAGAAGTTACCTTTAAGGACAGTAGGAAAATAAAGATCATAGGGTATGCCAATAATTCCATAGGTAATCGTTTTCTTAGTCAAATTATATTTCTTGTGTATAGGATCTTCAGATAATTTGATAAATTAATCAAGTGACCATAAAATCAAAGTAGAATTCAAAATAGATTTCCACAAAATATGAAATACATAAATGTATTCTCACATCTTCACTGCCCATAGACAAGAAATGTTTTATAGAATAAATCTATTTGATCTGGTGAAACCAAATATCTGGCTAAATGTAAAGAATTCTTAGAATGATCTGTGCTTATGACAAAGACATATAGGAGATGTAAGTACATGCAGTATACTCATCCTTTTTGAACTGGATTTGGTTTCAGGATTACCTAAAATAAAAATTAAATAAATATCTGATTGTGAAGCATACATGAGAGGGATCTTCCTTGGAAGCTCTCTCCCAAACACTACACTCTCTCTATAGTAGAACACGGATAGAAGAGGGGGTTGCTTGTGCTGCTCCGAATGAGTGACCCTCTATTTATAGGCACCTCGCAGCCACCTCGGTAACTATGCTAGCAAAACATCGAGAAACGTGCAAAATGGTTTCCATTTCTTCTGCCTGCACCGTTCCGCTTCGTGGCCTACTCAGCCGATAAATGGGCCGTTGAGTCCAGAGAAACGGCGTTCCAGTTGACTGTTTCTCCCTCGCACTCAGTCTCTCCTCTCGGTATTAAATGCGTGCATCTAATGTGGCAGCCTTGAAAAAGGCAAGCCACATTAAACGACAATAATTGTGACGGGATCCTCCATTGCCTTCGTGGTCATCTAGTGCGCTACCAGGCAGATGGTCACCGGTTTGCAATCCTCGCGAAGCAACCCGCAGGTCCGCACATGTGGCTATCCTGCATATATTATTTCCCAAGGTTGGCAACGTAATTGTTTCCACATGCATGTGGATGCATGTGGAAACTCTCGAAGACGTCGTTTTGCCACATCGTAATTCCGCAGAGATGGCCTTATTCATGGCTACCAGACCCCTCGCTCTCTCTCTCTCATCTCCTTCTCTCTCTCTCTCTCTCTCTCTCTATTATTGTTATAATTCCTACTGGATGGAAAAAGCATGAGGATTGTTTCCAGCCCATGAGTTCCCAGACATCATTTTGGTGAGTAGGCCATCATTTGCCAGGTCTTTGAGCGCCCGTCGTTCCACGTGTTTGGGGCTGATCGAGACTCTACTTTTAGGGTCCGGTACCAGCGCCTGGCCCAGTCTCACAATGAATTTTGGGTCTTCACCAAAAATAAATAAATAAATAAATAAATAAAAGTCAGACGCCTAGACGGAAAGAGGTTAAAGATTTCACATATAACCGCAAACAAAGAATGACAGAAGGATTGCGAATCGTCACTGTGGTTGTCCTATTTGATGTAGTTTTCCTAGGCGGGTGCGTAAATGTTTTGGGTTGCCAGCCTACTCTTGTCCAGGAACTGATGTATCGTGACCAGTCGATGAAGGAATTCTGAGTGGAGGAACGGACTTAAGAAAAACCAGACAATCCAGTAACGGATTACCATAACATCATAACAAAAAACTGGTGAGAAATGCACCAACATCTCTCTCATAATTGCGTGCAGAATCACAGATGCTATCTTTCTTCAAGCGTGAGAGCGGGCGGAGCCCATTCACGACAAGTTCGTTTCCTCAGTCTTTTTGCCTTGAACAACGTGGTTCAAGAACCTAAGATATGAGCCTGCCCTGAATCTAAGATAAGATGAGCGGCGGGTCCATTTATGCATGCATCTCCGTACTTGTGCTCCATACAACCGGAAAGATCAAACCAATTTGAACCGCTCACCCGTAGTAGTAGCGTAAACTGCGGTCGGGGGGCAACCATGATACACGGCGCTTGCGACTTTCACAAATCTCTCTATCTAGATCTATCCATTCCGTATTTAACCTAGGGTATATACTTGTGTAGTGGATAGCTTACTAATCAAAAATCCCTACTATCCAAGCATTTAAACTAGGGTTGCCTACGGTTGCTGGTCGCTTGCTGTCTACTAAACGAGCCTTCCTTCGTTTGATCAATAAGCCGCCCGACCCGTACCTACTGATATGTAAGGTGGAGTCTAATCAATGAAGTGAACAGCCAAACCTTTTTGTTTGAAGCACGGAATTTCCTAGCAAATTCCAAGGCTACAACATCGGAGACCTGCGATTTCGGCATCGAAAGGAACCGCGCGAGACAATTTCTATAGCATAGAGATACCACGTCCGGTCATGCGTGGTGTGTTCTCCATTCGTACAAATGGAACGCATCGCGTACGTTAATCGTACGGGGTGGGCATTCCATCAAATCTTTGAGAAGGAACTCGTATTCAATTGTTGGAGTGGCAATAGGCTTCTCTTCGTAGACTGGTTTCCCAGCCGTTGCAAACCGTGAGCGAGAATGGTAAGAGGATGCGACTGGGGGGCAGAGAAAGCCGTCCGGCCCTCCCGGGTTAGGAATGCGGAGGAGTTTCCTTAGAAAGGAGACCGGGCTAAGCTATTGACCGAACTTTTTCTTAGTGACTTTGAATCAACCCTTTATTTCTCATTATTCATGAGGCGGGCCTAACACGGAGCCAAATGCATAAATAAGGAAGGGGCTACGTTGCGTCCTTTTTTAAGGCTAACGGAAGAAGGGCTTACCTACTAAAAAGTACAACGGGTTTCGGATTCACCAGCCTTAGAGTCTTAGCCATTAGAAGCGCCAACAATTTTCGTTCCACTCTCTCTCTCTCTCTCACACACACACACACACTCTTTCTTTCTTAATTCTATCCGCGGGCTGTAATCATGGCTACCAATCAATCACCGTTTACTTTCTCATCATTGTGTCAACATCCTACTCGCGGGCTGAAAAGCGCCGATGGCCGCGTCACAGTGGATTCACGTGCATGATATAGGAGCCAATAGTAGGGCAGCGGTTGGGTGTTAAACTTATCAGAATTAGAGCGAGAGAGAGAGAGAGAGAGAGAGAGTATACAGATGAGATCAAGGCCAAGTGCAGCCAAAAGCAGAGCGTCACACCGGAAGCGTTCCGGATCCGGGACACAAACTCTCGGGGGAGGAAGAAACCGAAGTCGAATCCGAATTCTCCACCGCTACAAAAATCCAGGTCGACGCGAGAGCTAATTTGAGCGAAAGATTGAACGTAGTCGTTCATAAAACGGGGTTTAAACCTGATTCCTGATCTCTGAAATCGCAAGAGGCCCTTAGACTCTTGGGGTCTGGAGACGGTGGTCTATAAGTCTCCCCTCCCCCTCGTTCTGGGGGATGTGGAGCGAGGGAGCTGAGGGACGATGGCCGCGTTCTCCGCATCTTCTTCACCGGGAACCAGCAATGCAATTCCTCCTCGCCACCATGGAGCGGGATCTGGCGTGGAGGCTACCCTTCTTGGGGACTACGAGAAGGGCACTGAGCGGGCCCTTTTGATCAAGAACATCCCCTACGGAGGGGCCTCGTTCGCGAGGACATGCTTCAACGGGCTCAATGCTCTCTCAGGTCTCTATCTCTCTCTGTCCCCTCTTCTTCTCGTCAGTGTCGATTCGGAGCTTTCCGCTGTCTTTAAGGCAAAATTTTGCCTCACGCCCCACACCACCACTTCAATAATTTCGCCCGTAAGATTTAATCATCGTTTCTTTAGATTTATACCTTAGATATCATTTCTAGAGTTATGAGATTTAGATCGTTTTCCCCCTTTTATCTTATTTTAATCCCCACTTCGTCGGGGATTCGAATTACTTAGATAGGCTCATTTTCATGCTTCGAAACGACGGCCATTTCAGGTAACGGAGTTAAACTCTAATAGATCAGATGTTTGAGGAGAAGCGAATCTTGTCGTTTATTTATCCCCGGACAGTTCTCAACTGTGGACTCCATTGTTCATGATCGCAGGGGTGGGTGTCCTGTCGATTCCCTACGCGCTATCAGAAGGAGGCTGGCTGAGCGTAGCATGGCTGATCGTCATAGCAGCCGCGTGTTGCTATACCGGACTACTCCTGCAACGGTGCATGAACTCTGGGCCATACCTGCAGAGCTACCCGGACATCGGAGAATCCGCTTTCGGTCTCTCAGGGAGGATAACGATATCCGTCGTCATCTACTTAGAGCTTTACCTTGTTTCCACGGGATTCCTGATTCTAGAGGGAGACAACCTGGGCAAGCTGTTCCCAAACTCCAGTCTCAAGCTAGGGAAGATGAAGATCGAAGGGAATCAGCTGTTCACTTTGCTGGCGGCTCTCGTGATCCTGCCCACCACCTGGTTGAGGAGCCTTGGCGCCCTCGCGTATTTCTCCCTTGGAGGGGTGATGGCCTCGGTTATTCTGGTCGGCTGTGTCCTCTGGGCCGGCGCATTCGATCAAATCGGGTTCCATGAACGAGGGAAGCTCATCAATTTCGGCGGCCTTCCCACATCCTTGGGACTGTATGCCTTCTGCTATTGTGGCCACGCCGTCTTCCCCGCCCTGTGCACCTCCATGAGAGATAGAACTCAGTTCCCGAAGGTCAGTCATCTGCCAAAAATTACAATGTATTTGTATCTCTAGACGTAATTTTAAGCAACGGCATTCGGAACCAGTAAAATTTCGCCACTTGTATGTGGGTTCGATTTGCAGGCGTTGTCAGTGTGCTTCCTCCTGTGCACCCTCAACTACAGTTTCATGGCCGTCATCGGCTACTTAATGTACGGGGAAGGCATAAAATCTCAGGTGACACTCAACCTTCCAGTCGAAAATCTCAGCTCCAAAGTCGCAATTTATACCACATTGATCAACCCATTAACGAAGTATGCATTGATGGTGTCGCCGATAGCCACAGCCATAGAACAGCGTCTCCTGGTTAGCGGCGGAGGACCGGCCAGCCTTCTGAGTAGAACGTTGCTGGTGGTCAGCACCGTGGCCATCGCCCTGTCCATCCCTCGGTTCGGATATCTTATGGCCCTCCTCGGGTCGTTCCTGAGCGTCGTGGTCTCGTTGCTCCTGCTGTGCATATGGTAAGTCAAGATCTTCGGCTTCGCTGGTCAGTCGAGGCTTGAGCTGTCTGCCATAATGGAAATCCTGGTGACGGGTGTCCTGGTCGGAGTGACGGGAACCTACTCTTCTCTGCGCCAGATCGCCCGTAATATTTGAGGCTTCGTTCATAAACAATATTTGAGCCCATGAATCATCTCATCCCAGAAGAACCTGCAGAAAGGTCTTCCAGCTCCATCTTCTGGAAGAAGGCTCTGTGCTCGAATATTTCTGGAATTATGCTGGAGATGTGTAGATTTGAGCCGTAGGTTTCATGTTCCCTAGCTTTCGAGACAGGCGTGCGCGTTGTCAACGACAGCCGGGGGTGGGGGGCGTTGTACCCAGCTTTGGAGCCGACTGTGCTCAGATAACGAGAATAAAAGTGTTGCTAAGGCGACCGAGACAGGGGGAGCCTGGTTTGAATTTCACCGGTTCCGAATAAACCTCGTTTGATCTGTAATCCATTGTGGTCGATGTTCCTTCTCATTGGTAAGATTCTTTTGCTAGTTGTTGAATTTATATCCCTTAGTCAGCCGCCAGTTCTGAGTATGCATTGACACTGGGACTGACCCAGATGGATATCATTGGAATCCTGTGAACCAGTAACTTAGGTTGAATTCAATCCTGAGGGCTCGTGGGTTCCTAGTCCAATTAATCTCCCTAGTTTGCTCATTTTCTCGATTTTCTGGCCCTAGTTAATTTATACTTTAATTGTCCCATGAAGAAGAATATTTATGCGTGGCTAGGCTAAATAATGATGAAATATGTATAATTGCAACCCTAATCCAGTGATATCAAGTGTGTAGAAGGGGAGTCAATGGGTCAACAAATTTTGTCTTCAAGTTTGTTGGCTATTCCAGCCTCCAACCTCCACCATTATTCTCTCTCTCTCTCTCTCTCTCTCTCTCTCTCTCTCTCTCTAGAGGAGGCTAGTGAATGGTGTCATGGAGATCGGGCCGCTCTTTGCAAGGCCCAGACCCCGCTTGACTTCTTGGAATCCCTGACCAGAAGGAGAATAACGGTTTTCAACATACTAATGTTGTTGCTCTTAGGGTTTTATGATTTGGCGCTTGGAGGCCAACGAAGGCGCATGCGTTAAACGGTCAGAACCGGGTGGTTTGTCATCACTGCGTCCGTTATCATTCTTGGCTTCCCAAAGGCGTAGATTATCTTCATATAGATCGGACGGTCAGTGAGGGCTCTCCCCCGCCTTGAAGATCTCCGTGAACGACGGCTGACTCCGAAATCTGTGCGTTTCTTCAAGGAATCGTTCAAGATCGACTCCGAGGCCTACAAACTTGCTCACTCCCCGTTTATCAGGTCGCCGGCGACCATCAAGGTGGTTCTTCATCCACCGCAGTATGGAGGGGAGAGGGACAGAGAAAGAACGGGGGCAGAGATGCGCAGAGATTCATCATGTGCATGAACTCCCCTCACATTAAAGATGCGTCCCAATAGATGAGGACTCGAATCATCTCGGCATGATTCACAGGAATGTGTAAGCTTCTTGGGTGTGAATCTCACTCCGTGAATTCCACCATCCTTTTCTCTCTCACACTGCTTGGCGGTCCTTTTCTCTCTCACACTGTGGGAGAGGAAAACTGACGGAACCTAGAGAGATTGAAAACCCCCGATCATTCAACGAAATAGCTGGCGGCGCCACGATTCCGGCAATTAATCCTCGATGATGAGGCGAAGCCGAGTGGAGCCGGGCCGTTTTCATTTCCTCCCACGCCGCCCACTCGTCGTCGGCATTTACGTCGTAATCTTCGTAACTCTCAGTGATCGAGGAAGGAGTAACTCACTGCATGGAGCCCCCTGAAAATCAATGGAGGGAGAGAGAGGGACAGAGGAAGACAGAGAGAGACAGAGAGAGAAGGAGAGAGAGAGATAATTTGAGGAGAGCGCCGCCGATGACTCGCAAGCCGAGCCTCGGCTCGTATAAATCGCATCCTCGACGTTGTTATTAACCTCACAGGATATCTCTCTCTCCCAATCTATCCCCTCTCTCTCTCTCTCTCTCTCTCTCTCTCTCTCTCTCGCTAAAGATGGATGACAATCAGGAATTAGGGAACTGGCTTGGAGATCACGGAGGAGTGACCACTGAGGAAGAGCAGGCAGATTTCAGGTATGTGCTCCAATACTCACTCATTCTTCTCTGTTCATTCAGCCCAGGCTCTAGAGAGAGCTAACATCTTCACCCCGATTTCGCCCCTTCCCCGTCCTCCAGTGGCTACTCTCTCTGGGACTGGCGGTTTGACGGTGCTATGGAAGCTGGTGTTCCGGACCCCTTTCCACTCCAGCAGCTCCCCTCCGACCATTTCTTCCCCTCCCAAGACCTCTTACAAGGTGAAGTTCCCTCTCTCTCTCTCTCTCTCTCAGTATATTCAATGGCTTGATGGATAACTTTCCTCACGCTTTCTATGCAGATTTCAGCTCCACCTTCTGCGTTGAGAGCGTCGTCGGAGACATCGCCGGCGTAAAGGACCCCCATCTCGACGTCGCCGGCCACGAAGACATCGAGAGCAAGAAGGTGGAGGTCGCCGCCGGGGGGGAGAGGGAAGAGAGGGCCATGACCTTCGAGGAGGTGTCGAGGTACTTCTACGTTCCGATAACTGTGGCGGCAAAGGAGCTCAAGATGGGCCTCACGCAGCTGAAGAAGAAGTGCCGGGAGCTGGGCATCCCCCGCTGGCCTCACCGGAAGATGAAGAGCCTACAGGTCCTCATCGCCAACGTCCAGGTGGGTGACTCAGAATAGCTCCCCCTTGCCATACCCGTGGAAACGACGACGGGAAGACTCTTCCGCTCATCGGCGACTGACTGGTTCTGAGTCGGACGCTCTGCAAATGCAAAACCAGGAGCTGGGGAGAGAAGACGGGGAGATGGGAGAGACGCAGCTGCAGCGGGCGATCGAGATTCTGGAGAGGGAGAGGGAGGCAATAGAGAGGGTGCCCGGGACCCAGCTGGAGGAGAAGACCAAGAGGCTGAGGCAGGCCTGCTTCAAGGCCAACTTCAAGAAGAGGAGGCAGAGCAAGCCCGGCGCCGCCGCCGTTGCCGGCAGGCGAGATCCGGTGAGGGCTTCTTGATCGTCGGCCACCGGAGTTCCCTGCGCGAAGAATCTTACTTTCCTCTCCCGTCGGGAACCATGTCGCCGAAATGTGAAAACCCAGGAGACGGGGAGGCGAGAGCATGCCGAACTGTAGAAACCAGAGCTATAAATATAGATACGGATGAAAGAATAGATCGATGAACCCGGTGTCGCTCGTTTTTCTCCTCGTCTGTCTTTCGGCGGGCACATGGAGAGAGAGGGAGAGAGAGAGAGAAACCGCAAATATATTTTTTTTATACTTTATAAGCCGGGGAGAAATAGAGTACCGTTGACTTCATGTTTGGAAGGGAAAATAATGCTTCTTGTCCGAATTCGAAACCTCCGCTCCCTCTGCGGCCGCCAGTTCTCCGATCAACCAGAACAGCAGCAGAAGCAGCGGCAGAAGCAGCGGCGGAAGCCGCGGCCCTCCGCCACGGGGGCCAGTGAGGGCCCATGGATGATCCCCCTCATCAAGTCGTGCTCATCGGAAGCGCAGCTCCGGCAGCTCCATGCCCGCATCCTGCTCTCTGCCGCCGGCAGAGACCCTGCCGTCACGGCCGCCTTCCTGTCCCGCGCCGCCGTGAAACCCTCCGAGAATCTGCTGGGCTACCTCCGTCTCGTCTTCGAGGGAATCCCCAGGCCCTACACTCCCCACTTCAACGCCATGATAAGGAGTTACTCACAGAGTTCCTCGCCAGAGGAGGCCTTCTCCCTCTTCAGGGACATGCGGCGGCGCGGCGTTAGGGCAAACCCGGCCTCTTTCTCCTTCGTCCTCAAGGCCTGCAACCGGTTGCGCCACCTCGCCGGCGGCAAGCAGCTCCACGGCGCCATCGTCCGCAACGGGCACCAACCAGACTCTCTTCTCTTGACCTCCCTGATGGATGTTTACGCCTCCTGCGGCAGCACACTTGACGCCGAGCTCACGTTCGACGAAATGACCCACAGAGACGTCGTCGCCTGGAACGTCCTCATCTCCTGCTACGCCCACAACGGCCGCAGCAAGGACGCCCTCCTCCTCTTCGATCTTATGCAGGGGCCGCGCTACGCAATGGAACCCGACGAGGTGACCTGCCTGCTGCTGCTCCAGGCCTGCGCTCACCTGGGAGCTCTGCAACTCGGAGAACGCCTCCATGGCTACATCGAGGAGCGCGGCTACGGCGGCGCCGCCAGACTCCGCCACTCGCTGGTGGCGATGTACTCCAAGTGCGGGTCTGTGGAGAAGGCGCTCGCAGTGTTCAGGGAGACCCCGGAGAAGAACGTCGTCGCATGGAGCGCCATCATCTCCGGCCTCGCCATGAACGGCCGCGGTAGGGACGCCCTGGAAATGTTCTCGGAGATGCAGAGGGACGGCGTCGCCGCCGACGAGCAGACACTCACCGGCGTGCTCTCCGCCTGCAGTCACTGCGGGCTGGTCGACGAGGGACTGCGGCTCTTCCGCTCGATGGAAGAAGAACACGGGTTGACCCCCAACCTGCACCACTACGGCTGCGTGGTTGACCTGATGGGCCGCGCCGGAATGCTCGACCGGGCCTACGGGCTCATCGTAAAGTCAACGGGCTTCAAGCCGGACGCCACCCTCTGGAGGACCCTGCTCGGGGCCTGCAGGATCCACCGCCACGCCCAACTCGGAGAGCGCGTCGTCCTGCACCTCGTGGAGCTCAAGGCTCAGGAAGCTGGGGACTTAGTGCTGCTGCTGAACATGTACGCCGACGCCGGCGACTGGGAGAAGGTGGCGGAGCTTCGGAGGTTGATGAAGGACCGGGGGATCCAGACTCAGCCCGGTTGCAGCACCATCGAATCCGGGGGGAAGGTCCACGAGTTCGTCGCCGACGACGGGGACCATCCGAGGAAGGAGGAGATCTACCAGACGCTCGAGGAAATCGGGAAGCAGCTGAAGATGGCAGGCTACATGCCGACCGTTGTGGCGGAGCTGCACCAGTCCGGCGAGGAGGAGAAGGCGGTGGCGCTGTCCTTCCACAGCGAGAAGCTGGCCATCTCCTTCGGGGTGCTCTCCACCCCGCCCGGAGCGACGATCAGGGTGGCGAAGAACCTGCGCACCTGCGCCGACTGCCACGCCTTCGCCATGGCCGTGTCGGCCGTCTACAACCGGAAGATCATCATCAGGGATCGCAGCCGCTTCCACCATTTCCGGGAGGGCCGCTGCTCCTGCAACGACTATTGGTAGACAGGCGTACCCAAAAAATAGATTACCCTGAACGATTACTTACTGGTTAGCCTTCCGGTCGGAAGATATACTGCGGAGAATCTTGGGATCTTCCCTGTTCTTCCGATATGTCTAGTTTGACAGAACCGAGGCTCTTATTCGATCGACCTTTTCACCAGAAAAAGATGAGATTTTGAAGAGGGGGAAGTGCACACAGGCCAAGGGGAGTAGTATTCACATCATCTCCCCTGCTATGCTCTGCTCTCTCTCTCTCTCTCTCTCTCTCTCTCTCTCTCTCTCTCTCTCTCTTGTTAGAGAGCGTTTTTCTTAATACACAGACAAAAGGAGCAAGATCAAGCACTAGACAGCAAAGCTTTCATCCAGAGGAAAGTAGATCGGCGATCGTCAATAGACGGATTGGGGCGGCGGCGGCGGTGGCGGGTGGCCGGGGAGGGGGCTGCCCCAGAAGGAGCCCGCGCGGGGATTGGTGTTGGCGCCAGGCTCGCTGTAGTCCATCGACGAGAATTCTAGCAGTTTCGCC